CACCGCGCCCTTGGAGAGAGAGTGCTGGCCCCAGTGAAATGCGGCTTCTACCCAGTCCGTCTTCCTGGCACTGCTTGCTAAACGGGGTGGAGGGGAAGCAGCCTGTTCGTTGGCAGTTCGCACAGGACCAGGAGAGAAGCGCACTTTTAGAAAGCAAGTTTCCAAAAATGCCTTTGTTTTTGGGTTTGGGGTGTTTGGGTTGGGGGTCCCCCCTTCTTTAATTTCTGTGTATTTATGTGTCGCAGATAGAAGAAGCTAGCTCTGTGCGTGGCAAGGACTGACCGCTCCCCGTCCCAGTCAAACACACTGTGTTTTGTTTAGTTATGTTGTGCGGCTTCAGCATACGTTACTCCCCCTTAGGCCCCAGCCACATACCTCAGAGTAACCGAATATGCGTTGTTAAATTAAAAACATGATTTGAGTTTGGGGGTTTCATTTATAGTTAGAAACATGAAATGTAAGGAATTCAGTGAATACACAAACGATCCAGAAATAATTTTGGAAGCATTTCACAACTAGCTAGTGCTTGCTGGATTACAGATCAGACTTAAATTATGTGGAGATGAGTCACAATTTAAGCTTCGTCTCTTAGTCCATGGGTTTCTTTTTGTAGAACATCTGATTCCCCCCCCCCCCTCGGTAACTCACCAGTCTTTCATTTTCAACTGTTGTTTTAAATTTTCACGCTTTACCCTACGTAAAACTTAAAGTTGTGAGTAAGTAGTTGTATTTACTCCCAGATTAGGAAAGAGTTAATCCTGTTTTTCCTGAGGCTTGGATATGTGAGGTTTGGTCTGGACCGGAGTTGGTGCACGTGGGTGCGAATGATCTGATTTCAGATTACGACTTTATTTGCTTTGGCATTATGTTTGTCACTAATGGAGGAAGGGGAAAGAATTGGAAAATGTGGGTATTAAGGCCGAGAGAGGAAGCACCTTCGCTCCCCTCAGCAGTGATCGGATCGTCCCAGGAGCTCTGCAGACGAAGTGGAAATCCTTGGGGTTCTGCGACCGCTCAGGTCTTGGTCTGGATGTGAGGCCCCAAATACCTGTCCCCTTGAGACTTTACGCATTTTAAAAGTTACACGTTTCTGAAAATATTCATGATCATTCTGAAGCATTGATCATAGTTTACATGCATGCCTCAATTTTTTTTTAAAGAAGTTGAAGATAAACGTGGAGGGTACAAAATTTATACATGAAATGTCTTAATTGGAGCTTGGAGTTCAATTTTGCTGAGCTTTGATTTATCAGAAATGTTTAAAAGAGGTAGGTTTTTCGTTTGTGTATAGTTGAAGATGATGTAAAATCTAAGACAAAATAAAAATGACTGAGGACAGAAACTTGGATTCTGTTTTTGACATACCAGGTTTCTTTTCGATTACAAAGTGGTATTGTTTGGAGAGTGAACAGTGTACACAACAGAAAACAAAACTCAGTTGTTACCTCACGGTGTGCTGATATGATCACATAGTAAATACAAAACATTAGCTGCGTTTGATTGAAGTAGCTAATTTTGTGACATGTTAATATCATGCCTAGATTATTGTGCCTCTCCTCATGGACACTGTTCCTTGACAAGATGATTTTTAATAGTTCTGTGCCGTGTAGGCCTTTTCTTACCTTCATACCTCTCTTTGCGTGTTTCTTTCCTGAAGTTGGTTTCCTTAATGTGTTTCAGTTGGATGGAAAACAGAAAGTCCAAAAGGGACTTGAGTATACACTTTTGTGGTGGCTTTTTCTTTGGCGGAGGGAGAGGGGGCATGTCCAGTGATGCATCCCCCAACCTCTGTGCTCCTGGCCCTGCCCTGTATGTGCATTTTAGACCTGAAAGACGGGGAGAACTTCTTCTTTTGTTCTGTCTCTTAGGTTTGGTTTTGTGAAGTGAGGCAGAAATAGTCCTATTTGGGAAGTAAAGGGAGGGAAGGAGAGAGAGAGACGTTCAGGAGTTCAGGAGACTGTAAGGGGGCTTCTCCAGAGCAGAAAAAAGCCCTGTCACTTTTAAAACGAATTTTATAGGTCAGCTGTAAGATTATAAATTGTCAGTATTCCCGTGGTCGATTTAAATAAGCAGCCTGCTGGGATCACCAGAAAGAACGTGAAGAGCAAAGGGGGTGATTGTTGAAAGGATGCGAGCGCCCTGTTTTCGAAAGCCCAAGTTTGGTTTTGTGTGTTTGTATGCAACGTGGCTGGCTCTTTCGTGAGAACGAGGCTTCTTCCTCGTCTGTGTGTACCAAGGTGGGGGATTCTGGCAGCCAGAGCTCTTCTGGAAATCAGCCAGGGCTTCCGTGGGGCACCAGGCGTCCAGTGATGGGGCGTTTCAGAGTGTGGCCATCAGCAGTGCGTAATTAGTAGGGCTGACAGAGTCTCTCTGGGAGGTATCTTTGGGCAGTCTGTCTGGGAGGGTCTCAGGGAGACATTCAGCCTGAGTGGATGGTTAGGGGGATATTTTGTGAAGCCTGGGCATGCTCCAGAAGTTAAATGCAAAGCTCCAGCAAGTTTTTCAAGACAAACCATTGGTTGTGAGTGCGTGACTTAACACCAGCAGCCTGGAGGTGAGGTTTACTCTCCTCTGACTTCAGTGTCACATCCGTGGCTTAAGAGAGACCCGAGCGAGCGTAGGATCCGGTCTACCTACGACGAGAATCTGTGTCATGGAATCTGCAGCCCAAAGCCTCGTGGTCCCAGAGTAGCCCCTGTGGCTTGGTAAAAGAAAAGGGTCTCCCCCCCCCCCCCCCCCACGCTCTTCAGGTTACCTGCGTCTGTGGATTTCGGTGACACCTCCCTGCCTCTTCTGTGTCCTCAGACAGCACCTAGCGTGGATTGGGTGTGAATGGCACCCGCACTACATGGGCTGAATTAAACTTGACTATAAACGCTAACACGTCCATGCCACCTTCTCAGATTGGTAACTGGAGGGACAAATGCGGTCATGTCCAGAGCTTGCTCCTGGCTCTGCTCAGGAATCACTCTCGGTGTTGTTCGAAGCACCGTATGTGGTGCTGGGATCAAACTGGGCTTGTCCACAAGGAAGGCGAGCCCCTTAACCCCTGTCCTGTCTCTCATGATCTGGTGCTATGGGTGACATAGAACTCGTCTACAAAACGGGAAAGCTTGCTCCTGTGTCTTCTCGTTTAAATACCTGTGATGTTGATCTCACTGAGTTACCCTGTGTATTCAGTGAGGTCATTGAATCAGAAGGTGAAACATTCGCAAAGGTTTCCTCAGGAAAGTTAATCATGCAGGACAGTCCAGAACTTGGAGTCAATATTAACAGTGCCAGGGTAGAATTTATTTATTGATTGTATCCAGAGAGTCCACATGAGGCTGGAGTGTCATTGAGAGTTGTGAGGAGTGTGGTCCCATGCTGTGACGTGTAGACGGAGCGTCACTGGGAGGTACTGGAGTAAGACCTGGAGAGTCATGCGACCTGGAGAGTCATGCGACCTGGAGAGTCATGCATGGAGGATGTCTGCACGTGGGCAGAACAGGGAGAATAGTTGTGCCAGCACGGCAAATGAGCAGGTGGGACAGCAGTGTCCTGTGGGGCCGATGCCAGCATCATCTTGAGTGCTGGGGACACAGGGGCCATGCCGGCGAGGGTGCTTCAGCTCTGACGCCACCCTGCAGTTCTTTGTAAAGCGGGTGGCAGTAGTCGCACATAACCGTCTCCTCTTGTTCTTTTTTTTTTCCCCTTTAACTTTCCTTTTGCAATACAGGCGGTCAGAATGACGGTCAGTCAGCGGGAGGGAGATCCCCCCAAACCCACCTCTCGTTCCCGGAGCTTCAGGTCCTCACACGTGGACTGGATTTCTCGTTGGTCGGAGGCCCACCTTGGGGCTCGGGGCTCCCAGGACGGGCCTTTTCCCAGCCCTGCCAGAGTCTGCTTCTGGGCTCCACGTCACTGTGGGAAGACCCTGCTTTCTGTGCCCGAGGGGGTCTCTGCAGGCAATCCCCCAGGTGCAGGGAGCCCATCCTAGGCCCTCCTGGCCTGGGCCCACTCCACTACGCCTCCAACCCTGCCCGCCGCAGGGCGTGGGAACCACTCCATTAGGGGATCTGGTGAAAACACTCCTACCCCAAACCAGCATGCTGCTAGGTTGAATTTACTAAGGAGAAGCCTGCATTAAGTCTTCTAGAAATCATTGGTAATAGCATGGCTTACAGCCCTTCCCACTCACTTACTCCGACAAAACATTTCTAAACCAGGGCCTAAACGGAAAAGTGAACCGTGCCCCCCTCCAATTCATCAGCTGTTAGCGGTTTGCTGGTCCCCCCCCTTCCAATTCCTCCTTCCCTCCCCTCTCTCCATGTAAAGACTTTAAATGTGTGTGGTTGGATCTTAAAATGTGGATTCCTCCCCCCCCCCCCCCCCAATTTCTCTTTTAAACAAAATTCTCTATCGTAAACAGCCTTAACTCCCCAACTCTGCAAAGTGTGATCATTCGTAGAAATCCCATGTCTAGATTTGCACTCGGATGCAAGAGCCTGGTAGATCGTCTGTGGGGGGGTGCCCGGAAGCGCGAAAGCCCTCGGGAAGGCTTTCTTTAGTGGCATTGCCGCTCCCGCGGCCAGGGCTTTGACGGCATAGAAGATGACAAACCTTGTGCCTGGGTTTTTATTGTGCCTCCCCGCGTCCACGGTGGGAACACGATAATGCCGTTAGGAGAGCTCTCGCACATTAGAGACTCGCTGTTGATAGGATGTGGATAGAATTTGGTATTTAATGGGAAATCTGAATAGTGTAATTCGAGGCCGAGCAGTGCACCTATTAAACTGGAGAGCCGGGGAAGTAACGACATCTGTGGAAAGAGAGTTTGTGGCAAGGGAACGCCGCTGCTTTCGCTGAGATGATTTTGAATTTCCAAATACCTGAATTAAACACATGTGAGACCGTAATTTTCTTCATGTATGTCTGTGATGTCGTTACACAGCAGTCAATTTTAATCAAAGCATAAACATTGAAGTCACGATGTCTCCCTTTCGCTGTCCCTCATCCAGAAGGAACTCGCGAGCAGCCCCGACTGCCCTCAGATGTGCGCCTACAAGCTGGTGACCATCAAGTTCAAGTGGTGGGGCCTGCAGAGCAAGGTGGAGAACTTCATCCAGAAGGTAGGAGATCTGTGCAGGAGTCAGGCCCAGACTCGGTGGGGCAGTAGCAGTGGATGGGGGACTTCCTGATAGGTAGCGCTCTGTTCCCCTCTGTTTTCCCCCCAAATACAGTAGACACTAGGATCTCTTTTATTTATTTATTTATTTATTTATTTATTCTTTGCCCATACCCTGGGATGCTCAGGGGACCGCCCCTGGTACTGGGGAGCTAATCCAAGTCGAATAGCTCTCTGGCCCTTTAAGGCCTTTTCTTTGGGAAGGACTTTTTTGTTTGAGGTGCTTCCCCCCTTTGGGCCACTCCTGGCTCTGCATTCAGGAATCACTCCTGGCTGTGCTCAGGGGACCGTATGGGATGCCGGGGATCGAACTTGAGTCAACGGTGTGTAAGGCAAGCGCTCTCTCCGCTATCCTGTCTCTCCAGCCCTCAGTATATTTTTCTGATGTCCAGCCCAGGGCTCTGTCTACAGACAGCCAAAATATACTCACAGGGGCTCCTCTGGTCCAGCTCGGCCCCGACACACACTCGCCCATAGCCTTCCTCTTTCTCGTGTGATGTTTTCTTTAACCAAGGGGGACATACTCTGAGGGCCCAACTCTGTCTCTTCTTGACTGTCTTGATTACGGTGAAAGCGGCCTGGGTAACATGACCCAGAAATAGGGAGACTTTCAGTTGTGTGAATACATACGGTTGTCAGTAAATACACATGAAGGATACGGACAGTTTCAGCATTTGTTTCCTCTGCTGGGAACTTCTATTTCAGTATTGTTAAAAAGAAGCCCCTCTTCCGTCTCCAGACCTGTAACTCGTGCTGAGTTTTGCCCGAACTTTTTCTACTTTTAGGCTGTGGCTGCTGTTAACATTTTATTTTAAAAGACTCTTAAAGGCCTGGAAACTTTGATGCTTCTCGGGCCTGCTTACAGTTGGCCCACGGTAGGCACGCTGCAAGTTTTGGCTCCTTTCCTTCCTGTTGGATCATAATAATACATTACCAATCCAGCTCTGATAAATAGAAGTTACACGTGTAACTGATGAAGTCCCTTCTGTTCGTGGAAAAAATTTCAGTGTTGAGGTTTGTCCAAACATACTAAAGTACTCACTGTTCAGTGCACTTTCTTCTTTTTGTGGGAAAGTTTAGTCACACTTGAAAAATTTGGCAATTAAAACCGCTAATTATATGTGAGGAGTGTGTATATACATCATGTTTTTATATGTGTGTGTTTACTCTAATAACATTAGAGTAGAAAAATTAACGGGGACTGTGCATTGGTTCTTAATTTAATAAAGTGTTTTATCCAAGAACCAGGATTTCCCCCTTTTCAGACTGTTATTGTATTCCACCTCGCAGCATTCCTGTGAGTTCCAGAGGTGTTACGAATGACACTGTATTTTTTTTTTTTAAAAGAATCGAGTTGGCCTTTGGACATTGACATTTAGAAGAAAGGTAAAATAAATCAGATTTAGCGTTTACATGCACGTTGGGTCAGAACTTGCAAACATTTTCAGTTCCCACTAAACTAGGCCGCTCAGGCATGGAGACTGTCACCTGTCACGGGCCACTTCCTTCTCACTTGGTTGCCTCGGTGGATCCCCCAGTAACCTAGAGTAACCTTTGCCGATGAGATACATATAGATTTCATGGATCAATTTGGACATACCAGGTTTTCTTCTTTTTTTCTTTTTGGCTCTCCCCCACCCATCTAACACTAATTTTTTTTTTCTTTCAAAAGCAAGAGAAAAGAATATTTACAAACTTTCATCGCCAGCTCTTTTGTTGGATTGACAAGTGGATTGACCTGACAATGGAAGACATTCGAAGAATGGAAGATGAGACACAGAAAGAGCTAGAAACAGTAAGACGTTTCATTCGCTGGGAAGTCTCTCTCATTCCCCTTTTCCAGACCTGTGCATGCGCTTAGTTACGTGTAGACTTAGAGTTAAGAAGTGTGTTGATTAAGAGCCTTTGTAATCCTCATAGTGGTTTCCCAGCCCTTCATGGGTTTCGGGTTCTTTATTGTTGAACCTCTTCTGTGAGAGGCTTTGCCACCTTTAAAGTATCCCATCGTCCTCTGTTTTTATGTGTGTTCGTTCTGTGTTGTGGTACCTGGTTTGTGATCCTTTTAAACACTTGTGTTCTGAGCCAGACTTGCCTCCCATCTCGCTTGGTTGACAGAGCAACTTCCTGAAGTTGCCCCAGAAAGTCCCAGTTGGTCCCCCTGTAGAGAAGGTGGAGCAGGCCTTTCCTGTCACTCACTCCAGCCATGCCGCCTCCCTCTTCCTGCATCCAGCAGAAACCCTGAGGGCCGGAGAGTAAGGAGAGTAAACGCCCGCCGCCGGGGAGCACCCCTTTTCTTTCAAGGGCAGATTCTTCCCCCCACTTGCTCTTGCCTATATCTGGTTCTGCTTTTGCTCTGGGCTCGGCTTTTCAGATGAAAGTAAGGCCCCACGGGGGAAATGAACCCCAGGCATGTCCAGAGCCAGTGACTGGTTTCCATGCAGTCATCGCGAGTTCTGCCAGCAGTCCCGGCCTTGGAACCCGCGCTGGCCAGGGTGCTTCAGTAACACCCGTGTGTGCGCAGGAACTCCGTTTAATCACAGGAGAATGGCCGCAGAGCAGGTCCTCTGGCACAGAGGGAAATCTATTTGTCTGGCACACAGCATTGCAAAGAATCTGTGTTTAAAATTGCTTACATTTGGTGATTACAGCGGATCTGCTTCCAATTAGCTTTATACAAACCTTCTGAGAGGACCAGGACATATTTTCTTTATAAGGCAATAAAATGTTTTAACCTTATCTTATACATAAAGTAAACTGAAAGCAGTCTCCAGCTCATGAATGGATTTTGTTCCAAAGTTTTTTTTAAGTTGCGTTTTGGAAATTTGGTACACGTTTTCCCAAAGAGACAACATTAAAAAAATCGAGGCTTGGTTTCCAGGCCAACCAATGGGAGCCTCTGGGACTTCATTTTCTCATCTACAGTGGGGCTGGAATTTTAGCTCTCGGAAAGGGGGCAGAAAACGGCCTCAACCCTGACTTTCAGGCGGACCCGAGGCACAACTCGCACGGGCCAGGGTGAGACTCTTGGTGCTTCCTGCCGTCTTCCCTCAACCCTCTCCCCCCGCCCTCCTCCCTCCTCACGGGTCAGCTGCCCTTCCCGAAGAACAGCGGAGGCCCGCACAGTTCCTTCCTCTCCGCTGTGCAGCCCAGCTCCACTCACTCCTCTCGGCTGCTCTGGACACCTGGCCCGGGTCCCTGGCCCCTCTGTGCGGCTGTATCAGCTGGCCAGTCGGATCCAGCGGGATTGATCGGGAGCACTGACGGGATCCGCCCAGGTCCCGCCCTGGTGCTCCAGACTCTGGCACGAAGACACCCTCTGTCAGAGGATGTGAGCTGAACTTTGAGGTCACTGTGGAAGAAAAGGAGGCGAGGGAGCCCTCCCCGAGAGACCAGGTCCCTCAGAACGAGTTCCCTGGGAGGGCGCTCCCCTCCCTCTGTAGTCCTCCCACTTGGGACGAGAGTCCCTCCCGCCGCCGCCACTGGCCGGGGCCTCCGGGCGGTGCTTCTGCTTGGAAGCACTTGGGAAGGTCTGAGGGACACGCCCGGACTACCAGATGGAGCCAGGTCCCATCCCTGGCTGTGCCAGAAACCAAACACCAAAACCATGGACCGCCCTTACGGAGTGGGTCTGGACAGGCACCATCACTGGTTGGGGGGGGACCCTAGCCAGCCTTTTCCCCCTTCTGTTAACTATATCGAAACTGTTGTTAGGCTTTTCAGCATGTGGATGTAAAATCCCTGTTGTTTGGTTGGGGGCTGGACGGGGACCTTCCTGCTGCTTTGCGGGGCCTTTGGACCTGGGCAGTGCCCTGCCTGCAGGCCCGGCCCCGCGCAGCCTCCGCTCCTGGAGAGCAGGGCGCATGCTCCGGTGCCGCAGCAGGAGGAACTAACCCCTGCCCCCTGGCCCTGTTTCCCGACACCAGTGGTAGAATCGCATACGTTGCAGTTCTCTTTAATCTGCAAAGATGTTTCCTTTGCAGAATGGGCCTTGGCTTGGGAAGTTGGCTGTGAGAGAAAGGCCCGGGCCTAGAGTCCTGCGGGGGAACGCTGGGCTCGGCACGGCCACTGAAGGAGTCACGGTCACTGTCACTGTCCTCCCGTTGTTCATCGATTTGCTCGAGCGGGCCCAGTAACGTCTCCATTGTGAGACTTCTCGTTACGTGTCTGGCATCTCGAATACGCCAAGGGGAGCTTGCCAGGCTCTGCCGTGCGGGCAAGAATCTCTCGGTAGCTTGCTGGGAGCTCCGAGAGGGGCGGAGGAATTGAACCCGGCTCGGCCAGGCTGGCTGCGCGCAGGGCAAACGCCCTGCCGCTGTGCCATCGCTCAGCCCCACTGAAGGAGTACCCTGGCCAAACAGCACACCTGGCTCTGGTGGGGGCGGGCAGAGATGAGTTTGGAGTTGTGAGATGTGTCTACTGCAGTTGTTCCTTCTCCATCTGTTCTTTCCTTTCCTTTCCTTCCACTGCCTCTAGGTGAGTGCCAGGAGTCCCTGTCCTCAGCCTCTGTCCTTGACCTTGTTTCTGTGCCGACTTCTTCCTTATGCCCTCCCCCCCCCCCCCCACGCCTCTGTTCAGTGACTTTCCTGTAGAGAGCCCCCCTGAGGGCCCCTGGTCCTGGAGGCAGCAGAGGGGCCACCCTCTGCCTTCTGGGTCTGGTCTAAGGACACGGAAAACACGAGCCAGACTGGGGGCCTTTGCTCACCTTGCGTTGGCCAGTAGTCTGGGTTTGCCCTCGGCTCTCGCCGGTAATCGCAGGCTCTTGTTTCCTGAATGGAGAGGTGTAGGCTTTGCGTGGCCTAGGAGAGCGTCTGCGGGACCCTTTTCCCCACCCTGTGATTACTAGCAGGGCCACAGAACCTCTCTCTCCGCGGGGATGTGGTCGTAGGCAGCTGCCCTGTCCCAGTCTCCTCTAGGGCCTCTCTCTCTCCTCTGCTTGCTAACCCAATTGAGAGTCTGATTTCAGCCCCTCATGATTTTATTTTACGTTTAGATGCGTAAGAAGGGTTCCGTCCGAGGCACGTCGGCTGCTGATGTCTAGATGAGTCCCCTGTAGGGTCAGAGACAATATCAAACTGTGTAAGTGAAGAACTGGGTAAAAAGAATGTTTCAAAACCAAATGCCTTTGTTTCAACACCAGCACCTTGTAGCAAGTCCACTGGCCAAAGAGAATAAGTGTTAAGTGGGTTCAGTTTGGCAGCCAGCACTCCCTGGAGTTGTCGCCTTCTGAGAGTTCTGTGTGGAGCAGGTTGAGTTGCCGAGTCCCCGCGCCGGTGGTGAGGGTTTTGCTCTCGCAGCCCTGCTGCCAAGCCCACCCACTCATCAGGAAGCATTGTCTGAGAAGCCCACGGGTTTGTTTTTTCCCCCCATCAAGTGCCGGTTAATTGACCTATTTCTCAGTAGGACCGTTTGTGGTTTGGTAACGAAATAGGTGAAACCTCTTAAAATCAAAGATCTTTTTTTCCCGCCCCATACGGGCCAACCTCAGTAATTTGTTTCAGTGGAGATTTTTTCCACAAGAACTGAAAAGTCCTCCTTTGATGTTTAATGTTCAATTATCGTTACCGTTAGCTTTACTATGTATAAACAGACTTGGGTTCACTGACGAATATGAAACATTTGTGCGATGTTATTTCTTGAGCGCATTTTAATGCCCAGATAAGACATTTTTTCCCGAGAAGAGCAAAAGCCTCAGTCTACCCCACATAGTGAAGTTGGCCAAAACTTGACAGAACGCTGTTGTTGATGTCGAATCGTTGTCCAGACCGAACTGCAGTGTTCGTCAGGAAGGGAACCAGATGGGTGCTCTTGTGGTCCCTGGGCTCCCTGGACGCTAACCGCTGACCAGGGCAGGCGTGAGCTTCCAGAGGCGGGCAGACCTGCAGTCTCCACAAGCCCCTTCTTTAAATTCCATGTCCACTTAAGGATGCGTTACTGTGGCTTTTGTTAAGTTCTTCTTTGTCTCTTTGGTTTATTTTTGCTGCTGGTTCGTTTTCCCGCTGATGAAACAAGTAACTGAGCCGTTAGTGAGCCCCAAATCTAACTCTTCAGAGAGTCCAGATTTTTGAAATGCAACTGTCGGGGCACGTTGTCTGCCGGGGGTCCTGCTCCCCCGTGGAGGAGTCCCTCGTGGCGTGGGGGCGAGCGTGTGTCGCGGGCTGCTGCGTGGCGTGTATCTGTCTCGGCGCGTGGACTCACAGCCGGTCTCCCGCTCTCCCTTGCAGTTACGCAACCAAGGTCAAGTGAGGGGAACCAGTGCAGCCGGTGACGAGTGAAGACGCCTCTGACCAGTCTCTTGCAGTGTTGATGCTTCGCAGCGTGTGCGTGTGACTCCCTGTCACCCGCACAGGCTCCCAACCACGTGTGTATATATGTTCCTGTGTGTGCGCACGTCTGTAGCTGTATATAAAACGCATGTAGAGCTACAGGTCAGAATACACACACTTGTGTATATATGTACATACAGACCTACTGAAGGGACTAGTACGATTTCTCCAAAGTACTGTACCTGTCTTCAGCAAGAATGCAAATGAGAATATTTTCAATATATACCTGGAGCAAATTTTAATAATTATCAGAGTAATACCATTAATGGGCAAATTGACTGCGATGTAATACTAGCTGGTATGTTTCATAAATGTCAAGTGCGGACCAATATATATATATATATAATATACATATATATATAGACTTTTATTACTTTTTTGTTCTTTTAAATCGGTCTCTTGTAAATTTTTATTTAGTTCACATGCATCAGACTCCCACAGAAAAATGTATTCAGAATATTTCGGTATTCCAGTGAACCTGGAATGTAAACTCTGAATGTATTTATAACGATTTCTTTCTGGATGGCCATTATTTTAAAGCCAAATTGGAAAAAATGTCTTACTAGTAAGAAGTAAAGTTGTAGGCCAGTTTTTACTTGTTTGCCCTGAGAGGGGAAAATCCTTTTAAAAAAGAAGTTCTGGTTTTTATTGGATTTTTGTATCTTGAACTTCAAGTATTTTTCTACATCCAGCCTAGCAAAAGTGGAGATGACGGTTTGTGATTTATAATGAACACTAAACAATTCCCAGGCTCCCGTTAGGCCCCCTGGGAAACGGCCGGAGACGCGGAGAGCGTGGTAGGTAGGCTGTCCAGAAGGATTAGAGGTGGGTCCCGAACTCCCACCACGCCCCGTTCTGAAGTGACTTTCCTGACCCTGCAGCTTGGAAACTATGCAAAAGGCTGGAGGATTCCCAGCTTACCGGACAGCCTAGAGACAGGCTGAGGCTTTGCTCTCTCCGGGGTCAGCAGCACATGGAGGGGGGCATGCCGGCAGGAGACCGGGGGGACGGCAGAGGCAGCGGGAGGCGTCCGCACGGGGACCGGCCCTGCTGGAGTGTTCTCTAGTGGGGTGCTTCGGAGCCCGTCCTGAGCACGCGTCAGGAAAACGCTGCCTGGAAGCTGCCGCTGTGTCCCTCCCATCCCACTCCAAGGGTGGGATTTTTTTTTTCTTCATTTTTAAGAACCAACAGCTAAGATTAGGGTGGGAGCCAGAGCCATAGGACAGCAGGGAGGGCGCTTACCTTGCCCATAGCAAACCCAGGTTCTATCCCGGCATCCCAGCGGGTCCCTCCGCACACCGCCAGGAGCGATTCCTGAGTGCAGAGACAGGAGTAAGTCCTGAGCATCACTGAGTGTGACCCCTCCGGAAACAAAAAAAGAGACCAAAAGACTTCTTTTAAAAAAAAAAAAAATCAGATTTCTCGATCCAAGTCCGCTATTCCCCTCGGTCATCCCTGGAAGCTTGAACAGAATCTTGTTGCTGCCTTCCGGTCACAAAGTGTCTCGTGAGCCCGGTCCCTCCCCGAGCCCACCGGCCCCCTAGTCACATCTCACTCGGAACCTGACAGCTGACAGTCCTTGCCCTCGCTCCCCCCCACCCCCCGTCTCCCTACGCATCCTGTGTCCCCCTCGGAAGCCACCGCAGGTGGGCGTCACTGCCGCAGCACAGTGCCCCCCATCCCCTCGCCAAAGCAGACCGGACCCACCCGCCCCTGTGCCGACGCCCACTGTGTCCTCAGGATCAAGACTGCTGTTTACTCTCTGGGCGCCGTGGTGAGATGGGTTTTGTCAGAGCGTGGTCACTGTCCGCGGAGTGTCCGAGGCGCGGAAGGTGCCGGCTGGCTCTGCGGAGCAGGGGCCCACCCTCCCTCTCCTCGGAGCGAGCCGAGCTCTCCTGGCCTCTGCGTGTGGCAGCGTCGTGAGCCCGGCGCGTGGATCTTAATGTCTTTCTAACAACTGTGGAGATTTGAGGGAATGTGTGGTGAATGTAAAATATCTAGTTTACTCGGCAGTCTCTTGTGTAAATTACAGTAAAACAAAGTAAATGAAATTTAAACAAAAAATAAATTTGATCACAAAATGCCACTTGCGTGCTTGAGTGGTTGTTTCCCCGACGCCACGCCGGCTTCCGAGCGCCACAGACCCCGTCTGCCGTTTGTTCAACGCTTTTCTCGTTTGCAGGCCTGCCACGCCGGGGAAAATCAAGAAAAATGGCCTTTTATTATTTCTTTTTATTGCAAACTCCCGTTCTTGAAATGCGCGCGTTGCCACATTAAGTTGTTAATTTGCTTTCTTAACTAATTTTCAGTCTCTACAAGCGAGGCAGGAAGCTGACGAAGGAACATCGCTTTTGTTCTGTTCGTTTGTGTTCTTTCTCACAGGGAAATTAAGGAACGCCCTGAGAATCCTGAGGATGGGGTTGTTGCCGCCCTGTTCTGATCGCTCCAGGACTAGTTGTCTGCATCCGGGCTCTTGTCTTACCTCCTACCTCCGTTGTAGGACTTTTTTTTTTTTTTGCCCCCCCCCCCCCCTCGATTTTTGGGTCACACCTGGCGATGTACAGGGGTTTCCTCCTGGCTCTGCACTCAGGAATTACTCCTGGCGTTGCTCGGGGGACCAGGTAGAATGCTGGGAATCGAACCTGGGTTGGCCGCGTGCAAGGCAAATGCCTTGCCTGCTGTGCTATGCCTCCAGCCCCTGTTGTAGGGCTTTTTGTCTTTTCTGGTCTATATTTGGGAATATGTGAGAAGTGGTGTGGCTTTAACTTACATTCTTGGTGCCCGTCTTCCATTTCCTGCCGTCATCTTCATAGCATCGATTGGTACACAGTAGCACCCTCCCTGGCATCTTCCTCGTGGTCTCCATCACCCAGCGCCCAGGGCTGAGACTCCCAAGGCACCGCAGGGAGGGAAAGCACGCGGCCATCCTCGGGGGCGATAAATGACCGTGCAGAGTGATGCAGGGCTGGCCGCAGCCCACGTTACACGGGTCACAGTGAAGAGTCCGCCCCAGGCAGCTACATAACAGGAGCTCAGGGTGATGCCGCCTCCCCTAACCCTTGTCGAGTGCCAGCCTGCGCCCACGCCGACTCTGTGTACGAGCTCTTCTGTACGATTTTCCTTCTGCTTCTATTCCTTTGCCACCACGGCCCCCGGGAAGGTCTTACCCTGTGCTGTGGCCCAATGCCTGACGTCCCAAGCCTCTCTCCCCGCCCTGGGCCTTCCCAAGCGCTGCATCCTCTCTGCCCCTCCTGTCTCCTCCCTCGGCAGCTGAGTGGAGAAGGGGGTTGGAAAGGCGAGCTCGGGCTTGAGCGCCCGCACCGGAATGTCAGGGCTGCCAAGACGCTCAGCTCTGACACGGGCACCCCGCGTGTCGGGGTGTCAGGAGATGGCGAGCCGTCTCTCCCCACCACCCTCACTGGCTCGCTCGGGGAGACTTTGGGACTTGGCAGAACTGGGAGATTGAGGAAGTGCTGGGGGACGGGTTAGAGGGGCTCCCACCAAGCTGCGTGCTTCCTAGGACCCCCGCTGGTGGTGCTCAGGGAGATGTTTTCTGCAGAAGAATTAAGAAACAGCAGCGCCCTTCGGAACCAGTCCTTCCAGCCGGCCGGTTTGCACAGACCCTGCCATGCCACCTTGCAGCCCTTCCAGAGTCCTGCTGCGCATTTCAAGTCACACTTCAAGTTTGGGGCCCCCGACACCCAACTGTCCACCCCTTTCTTCCTCCTGGAAGCTCCATGTTCCCGGGCATTATTGTCTAAAAGGGATTGACGACCCAGTGTTGTTTCCCTGCCAGAGTCGGGGTGTCCGAGGCACCTCTCCTTTGGGACTCTGCTTTCCTGCCCCGTCAGTTGAAATCATGACGGAAAGTTTGTTTCTGGGTAGGGAAAAGAAGTCCCGTCTATCCGACCCAGAATCTTCACGCCAGGGCTACTGGTTTGAAAAACATCAGCTCACGCCCTTGGAAGCAAGAACCTCTCGACCCTGGTGCAGATTACCTGGGGAGCTCCCAGCCACCCCCTGTCTTGGGCCACATCTTCAGTGCTCAGGGGTTACTCTGGTGGTCCCTGTGGGACCATGTGCTGCTGTGGGTAGAACCCAGAACCTTAATGTTTCTTAATTGAGATTTTGTGAATTATAGTAGTAGTATTGATGGTTTCTCATGCACATCATTCCAGCATGGTGCCCACCTCCAGTGTCCCTGGGACCCCCCCCCACACACACATTCTCAGCTGTGTGACTCAGTCTCCCATTTGTTGCCTTTGGCTCTCTATTGCCACCTCACTGTGTATCTTGAAGTCACATCTTTGAGAGATGGTTGTGCAACTCTCCCTTTCCTTCTGACAGACTTCACTCAACTTGATATCTTCAAGTTCATCCATCATGTTGCAGATTGCACGATCTTGTTCTTTTTAGGGGCTGGAGCGATAGCACAGCAGTAGGGCATTTGCCTTGCACGCAGACAACATGGCCGACCCGAGTTCGATTCCTCCACCCCTCTCGGAGAGCCCGGCAAGCTACCGAGAGTATCTCGCCCGCACGGCAGAGCCTGGCAAGCTCCCTGTGATGTATTCGATATGCCAGACACAGTAACAACGAAGTCTCCAATGGAGACGTTACTGGGCCCGCTCGAGCAAATCGATGATCAACGGGAGGGCCTGTACTTTTTACTTTCATTCTTTTTAGAGCTGCGTAGTATTCCATTGTGTGTATATTCCACACCTCCACTCGCCTGAATGGGTTGTTTCCGTGTCTTGGCCATTGTACTAAGTGGAGCAGTGAACACGGGCTCATTAGTGACTTCCGTTTGATGTGCTGTGTCTTCAAAGAACCGGAGAAGGAAACTAAGGAAATTCCCAGTCTTCTGGGAGATCATGGAGAATCTTCCAGAAGTTCTCTGTGAAGTCATCGATTCCTGCCAATTCATCCCTCATTTGAATCTTACAGACTGCTCCAGTAGGCTTGATCTTCCCTAAGTGCATGTATTTCTACACCTGTGAGGAAGATCTTGGGGATAAACTGCCCCCTGCCCTCCCGCCCAAGGACTGGCTAGAGGCAGCCCTCCTCGGGGACATAAGTGGACACTGAACTTCCCTCCTTTTTCTGCTGGAACTTCCAAATTCCACTCACGCCACAGTGAACAGACCGGCTTAAGCTGGAGTGTAAGAGTCCTGAGCTGGACCAGACTGCCAGGGATGTTAGGGGACACTCCCAAGGGAACACCCGCAGGTTTGCCCACTCCCCCGAGCCCCACAGCAGCCCAGGGGCAGCCAAAGCCCTCCCCAGTCCCTCAGCCATTTGCTTCCTGGGGCCAGTGATGCTCCCCTGACGTGTACGTAGCCTTGGACACTTGGCCCAGGGGCAGGGACGCTGCTGATGGCTCTGTTGGCAGCCTGGGAAGATGGTGGCAGCTGTGTGTCCCCTGATCCCGAAACACCGCCCCCCCCCCCCCCATGTGTGTGAGGCAGAAGGAAGATGGTGCTGGTTGCTGCACCCTGCCATGCGTCAAGCGTCTAGTAGACGGCCTTGGTGGCCAGTCCACTGAACTTCATGCTCAGCCCTGGATAATCTTTTTTTTTTTCTTTTTTGCTTTTTTGGGTCACACCCAGCGATGCACAGGGGTTCCTCCTGGCTCTGCACTCAGGAGTTACTCCTGGCGGTGCTCAGGGGATCATATGAGATGCTGGGAGTCGAACCCTGGTTGGCCGTGTGCAAGGCAAACGCCCTCCCCGCTGTGCTATCTCTCCAGCCCCAGCCCTGGATCATCCTTCAGAGTTGAAATCTGCCTGTCCCATCCCTGCTGGCTGCCGATGGGGTTCACGTAGTCAGGCCAGACCTTTGCCCCGCAAGCTGGCCAGGGTTCCCCCGTGGCCCTGGGCGCAGGGTCGAGGCGGTCTCCTGCGGCGTTTCTGAGCCGCAGTCCAGTGCTGTGCTGGCCACTGCCTCCTCGACGCCTTCTCGAGGCCCCTGCTGGGGATCGGGCGTGTGGCCTGCGGTGTCCAGTAACGATGTGCCCCACAGCCCACATCCAGATGGACACCCTCCCAGCGCCGCTTCCTCGCTCCCAGAACCCCAAAAGGCCAGAGACATTCTCAGCCCACCCGAGAGGCTGGGGCTGCTCCCCGTTTGGGATCTCCATGGCCCTTCCCCCCACGCGTCACTTTGCAAGGGCTGATACAGGAAGGACGCCTGCAGCAGGCCTGGTCCAGCCCGGATGGCAGAGCAGACAGAACGGCGGCCCTCGTGGCTTGAGACGCGCGGTGGGTGGGCGTTTTCTGTAGCCAGCCTCCCACAGATATTTGGGGTGCTGCTTTTTGGAGCATCCAGTTGGAGGAATGAAGGAGGGGTGTCCATGCCAATAAATGCAGCAGGTGGTGAGCTGGCTTTGGCCCCCTCCAATCCTTCCCCCTCCCTCCCTCCAGTGGCCATCAGGGGGTGGGAGGGGCTCCAGGGCTATCCCCAGCTCTGCTTAGGTGTCTTGGCAGTTCTTGGGACCATGCAGTGATGGAAATCAAACCCAATTCTCCTGCACACACTCCACACACTGTCGGTCCTATTTTTGGTTTTGTTTGGGGGCTGCAGTTACGGGATGCCAGGGATCAAACCTGGGTCAGCCTCGTGCAAGGCAGGCGTCTACCCACTACACTCTCTGGCCTCCACTCTCTGCCCCCCCATCACCACCCTCTTTCACGGATGATGAAACTGAGGCCAGAATCACATCCGTCTCGGTCACATTCAGAAGTTCGAGTCTGCACCACCCAGGGAGGAACAACAGGTTCCCCCCCCCCCCCGCCCCATCCCCTCCTCCCAGGCGGGGTCCAGCTCACCTCCTCGTCCTCCCCAGAACCGCCACATCCCCTGCTCCCAGCGTCCACGTCTCCGAGAGAGGAAAACGCTCCAGAGGCCCCGAGTGAGTTCTTAGCCGCTTAGGAGCAAACTTGCATGACTGATTCTTCCCGGAGCCCGGAGCCAAGACACATTTCTTCCTAGACAGTGTTGAATTTCCCCTCAGCCTCGTCAGGAAATTCCCAGGCTGTATTTCATATCCAGCAGAGACGGCCTCTGCGAACGGCATCCCGGAGCGTC